CACATTATTTAAAACATTAGATAGATTATATATACTGTAAAATATTAATAATAATTGGGTTAATATTATTATTAATAGTTTTAATGATTTCTACATCGTCAGTCCTTTTTTTCTGCTCTGTTGTCAACATGTACAGTAATGGGAAATCCAGAGTCTTGACCGTTTAGCGTTAGCCGTTAGCTTCACCAGCAGATCACACGGTCACGTGGTTTTTGCGCACTCCAGCTGTTCTATATAAACTCCTTGGCGCTATGTAATACCATGACAAGGAAGTAATGTTTAGTGTTTGACATGTACCTGTACGGTTTTATAATCCTGGCMGTTGCTCACAGAGGAAAGCATGATTTTGTGCAAGGCTAAAACAAAAGCTGTTCTAAATCCCTGTTTGTTTCTGCTGCAGGTCCAGGCCACTGTGGTTGGTTTTCTGGCAGCTGTAGCAGCCGTGGTGCTTGGTTGGATCCCGGAAGGGAAGTTTCAGATGAGCCATGCTGTTTTGCTGTGCTCAAGCAGCGTGGCCACGGCCTTCATAGCCTCCCTGCTGCAGGGTAAACACACTAACAGCTGATTTCCACACACCTCTATGATAAACTGTCATTGCTGAGTACTTCTGTTGAAGTTACTGTAGTTTAGTTTACAGTGGAGCTTCTCAATATCAAGCTTTAGCGTATCTTGTAGCTTGTTATTAAAAAAATATTGATTTGGAAACAAATGTCTTTTCTTACTAATAATAACTGTGATCTTTTCTGTTAGAAATTAGTAAATAAAATAAGTAAAGTAAAAGTTTAAGGTTTTCACAATGAGTTCTGTAGAGTTCACTTGTTAATTTTAAGATTATGTTGATGCATTTTTCCCATTTTAGGCAATAAATCATTGAATCTCGATTGCTTATAAGCAAATATGACCGTAGTAATAAATGAAGGCTAATGGCAGGTTTCAGAATCGTAAAAAAGCAGCATAAAAGAAATRAAAAATCTTAACTACTATAAATACTTTTGAACTTGAAACATTCATTTAAATTAGCTCATATAAGTCTAGATGAAAGTATAGCAACACATAAATGTGTTTCAGCCCAATGCTGTCAATCTGTTGCTATGCTTTGACTTTTATTTTGACAAATTGTATGCAGCCGAGTCATTTTAACCTTGTTTTGTATAAACTTATTTGTTTTTAGCAAGTCCAGGGACAGTAGATGAAAAATAGCCTTTGGCTAATTCTGCCGCATTTACAGAAATGTCAAYTGATGTGCATTGTCCCTTCTAAATAAATTAAATTATATTGGACACATTTACAGTTGGTGTCGTTTTAAGTCACACAACTTACACAGTGTTAAATAATACCCTGCCTGGTAGCCACTACAGTACATGTAATGTTTGCCAAAATATACATGACAGATTATCACAGATTTAGGTCAACATATTTTGTTAAGTCCGGACACATTCAATAAATGCAGCAGCTATTTTTTGTTCAGGTGCTGAAACATTGAGAACATGCAGAACTTAAAGACCTGCTAAAGTGTAGGTAAAGAACCAAAACCTGCAGGACTGTGGTGCCTGAGGACCAGGATTAAGGACCACTGAGATGGACCTTTTTCTGCTGCACGTTCAAAACTCTTGAATAGTTTGTTGCTGCATTTTGGGCAGCAGCAAAGACCCAGTATGGGATGACTTTACCCCTATTGTACTTTTAATTATTTATCTGTTTGTTTAAATTGTTTCTTTGTTTTCTGTAAAGTGCTTCATAAAAAAAAGTAAAATGAATATGATGTGGCATGCAGCACATCCATACCAGTGTATCAAGAACTCCAAGCAAGACTAGCTTTAAATGATCAATCAAATTTTCAAAACGGACCGAAGAAAGAAAACTGCAGTAATTATTAGTACAGTGCTCTACCATTCTTTTGTTTACAGGTATCATCATGGTTGGAGTAATTGTGGGTTCCAAGAAGACGGGGATCAATCCAGACAACGTAGCCACGCCCATCGCAGCCAGTTTTGGTGACCTCATTACTTTGGCAATCCTTGCCTGGATAAGCCAGGGCCTCTACAAATGCCTGGGTATGTTCATAACTTCTGTTAACGAGGCTTTCAGAAAGACAGACAGAACGGTGTACGTTATGTCCTGCTCTTCTTATTAAATAATTAATTTGAAACTCTTCTTTCAGTTTAACCTCCTTATGTGTGACATTTTATTAACCGTCTGAGATGTATGAATCATAAAGTCATTGGTCACTTATGTAGTGGTCACCCTGGGTGGAATAAACGTTCCACCTGCCTTTGACCTTGACCACGGAAGGCCTTCTTTAAAGAACAGAACTCTGTTCAATTTTTATGGTCATAACATGTTTTCTTAAACAATTAAGGGACATTTTATTTCATTTTATTCTYTATAATCAAGATAATAAACAAAATAGTAATGTTCTTTATATGTTTTGACTTTACATATTTTACTTAAGCAAAAGTTATTTCTTAATTAAGGTTATCACTTTAAAGTTAAAGTTCTATGCTTAACTGAATGACAAGTTATGTTCTCCTCACTATAACCAGAGAAAAGAAGAAAATCACAAAAGATATCATTTTAATGTTTATTTTGTGTATGTTAATCAACCATTATTTGAATATAAGGTGATTATGTTTTTCTTTTCAATTCAACTATAAAAGTGTATGATTTTCTAGTTATGCCTAACAGAGGTTGATGTGAGAAGTTTCACTAAAAGCTGAGAGTTAACAGAAGAAACTTTGAGCATGTAAAACAGGGGTTGTTTTGTCTAGGAGGCAAAGTTTCCCATGAGAACTTTCTACGCTCCTTTAACTTTCTGATTCACACCTGTTAACACCAAGGTCGACCAGAGACGACTCTCTCTACCTCCCCTCTCTTATCTTTTCTATACTAACATGGGCGAAAAGTCCGGCAGTCTAGTCCCGGTCGACAGCCAGTTCAGTTCGAGCGGAGTCTGACGCGGGTCAGACTCGGGGAACTGTCTGGTCTCTCCCAGCAGAGAGCAGAACAGCGTGGTGAAGATTTTAGCTCATGAGCAAAAGAGCTAATCTTCCCACTAGCCTAACGACATTGCCAAGTCGTGGGCCCCCAGCAACTCTCTTTGAAGTTGAGACTCCAGAGAGACGCTTTTGTTTTTAATCTGAAGAAGCCAAGCGACGAAGTGTCAGTTTGACACGGAACCGGACCGACCCAAAGATAATCAACTTCCTGAAGTTAAGTCCGGAGCAGTCCTGACGGTCCTAAGCGGTTCTCACCAGTCTGAAATCTGGACACCTTCCAAGCTTACCTGACTGACGTCTGAAAAGGTAAAGCTGAACGTTGATTACAAAGTGTCGGGAGTCCTGGCTGTGTCACTAAAGATCGCTCCATCCTTCTGGCTACTTACAGTATTGATAAGATAAAATCTAGTTCACTCTCCATAATAAYCACTTTTCCTTCACTAAACTTAACTTTTACTTCACTCTTACTAAGAATTTGCCTCAATTAGGTTTATTTAACATCAAAGAACCTTATTGTGTCATATAAGTTGTCAAATTAACGAGATTTAACCCCTTTTAAGAGTTAATGGTTGGTTGTTCAACTTATGTAAAACCCTTATCCATCTTCCAATGAGTTTGTATGTAAATAATTGTTTTGTAAAATAAATATCATTTATTTTTAGATAAACTTTATTGACTACGATACTCATTGTCAAAGTCTTGGTCATAATAAAGGTGATGGTTATTATTATTAGTATTTAAATAATAAAAGAACCCGTTTCCTCATATATTAACTATATTAATATTAGTCAATATTAATTAGGTTAAATATGAGAAGTTATGTTGGAGTATCTCCTACACTTACGTAATTTATACTGTTTCCTTGATGAAACCAGTTTTTTTAATTCTACTTGTGAAAAAACTGATTCAGTATTGACACTATTGGCTAAATTCGGTATGTTTTGAATTTTTTTTTTTTTTCAATCTAACTGATTTTGCATAGGTTGTGCTATTTTAACCTTTCGTATATTAGCTTGTTCAGGTGACATGTTCAAGCCTCTATAGTATAATTTAGTGATCAGTTGTCTTTGCCGGACGCCGGAGCTGCGCCGGAGTCAATGGCTGTGTCCAAAACGACAGGCCGGGTCCTCCGGAGGACCCAGACTCCCCGGTCTCGGCGGGCCGGGTCCTTGGTAGACCGGGAAGACCGGAAAAAAAGAGTCTGTGGATTTGGACGGTCTAGCCTCCCCTCCTTACCCCGGCGTACGTCATGTCACCTAGCAACTGTGATGACGCTAAACAAGCAAACTTAAATCAAAACTAGAAAATTATCAATACATTAGCATTATTAATATTATTAATATCACAAAACTATAAAATTAACTTAAAAGTATCATTTGAAGAACTAATTGACCCGCTGTAGGTTCAGGTTTATTTCGCGTTTTTTATGATGAAAAAAATATATTTAAAAACGTCCATACAAATGATAAAAGTATTAGAATTACAACCGCTAATTTTTTTTAATTTTTAAATCACCATATTTTTATTTAAAATGTATTCTTTTCTCTCGCTTCGTCCGCCATTACTAGCTTAAAAAAATCTCCGGTTGGGYCGCAATGCATTATGGGATATGCTGGGCCGGGAAGGATCCATCAGACCTGTCCTTCGATTCGGGGAAAAAGAAGGACGTATTTGTCGGCCGCATCGGAGGAGTCTTCCATTTTGGACATCCTTCGTCGCGGCGCTGTGACGTATGCGGCCGACAAATTCGACCTTCGGAGGACCCGTCCTGTCGTTTTGGACACAGCCAATTTTTAAAGATTACGTCGCACCAACAGGAAAAGAAATGAGCACAACATCCGTATTTTCAAAATAAGACACTATTAGGCGGAATAATATGTCGGWATAATGTCGAAATCCCAGTTATGTTAATCAATATATGGATATATTTCTACACAAATGCTGTCAGAATGTATCGTTCTGTTTGGRAAGCAGATGAAAACGTAGCATGAAGCATATGTGTACACACACGATACACGTGGATTTTATTTTGAAATCAAGTTTCAGAAAGACGACAGCGAGACAGTTTCAACATAGATACCAAAAGTCTTTATATCGTTGTTTTAATCTGTGTTTGGAGTTCGTCTTTCACAGAATGAATTATTTTTTGCTGTGACTTCCACGTTTATCACTGAATTTATTGCGCAATCTCCTTCCTGCACACCCTCCCTCCTCTGTGTGTYGGACCGGAGCGGAGCTGAGCGCAGCRGRCGCTGTATAAATTGAGACACAAATGAACAGCTGCAAACTGCGCTGCGCWGCGCAGCGCAGCGGAGACGCGTGTAGTGTAAATCCGGGGTAATGCAGCAGTGGGATCTAACAGGACAAGTGTGTACACAAGTCCAGAAGAATCTCATTAGTAACTTTAATCAGAGCCATTTCTGGACTATGAGCTGTAAAACTGACTGAAACTTCTTCCTCAAATTATTTCTGGCCAGATGCTCACACAATTGATTTATAACTATTATATCAATATTTTTTAAGACGACAGGGAGATTGATATTGGTCTAAAATTGGACAGAGCTTCTAAATTAAGTTCAGACTCCTACTTTTTCTTTCTKTAGCTACTTTGTTATTGGAGATGGTTGATTTAAAAGAAACCAGACCAGTTTTATACAGAAGTATTTACACTGAGCCTATCTGTAGATTATTTAGATTGGACGAATTTAGCTTGCAATGATCTTTTTTTTCCTCACTGTTTACTGACTTGTGCATTCTAGTGATTCAAGCTATTGAATCCCAACAGTACAAGTGCATTACATAATAAAATAAAATATAATAGACATTATTTTTACATTTTGCTCCCCTGTCTAAATTATGGAGGCCTGCCTGATTCTACATTTGCAGAAAACTAACAAGTACTCCACTTTGCCATCATATATTTGCATCCAAGTAAATTTCTTAAGAAAGCACAAACATAAAGATGGCAGCTCAGCAGCTAGCTGTTAAAGCTGCTGCCTCAAAGAGAGAGGCTTRCAGGTTCACACCCTGACCTTTCTGTGTGGAGTTTTGCTTATTCTCCTCATGCATGATCAGGTTTGCTTGCACAGACCAGCTATTATTACTGTAATTCATTTTCTTGATAGTATTGTTCAGTCACAGTAATGCTATTTACATAATGAATTGCCGTTGTTGAATTTATTAAATACTCATCCGTGCTTCATCAAGAATGCAGTGTTTTATCCATATACAAATTCATGAACTGCCTATTTTTTTTTCTTATTTCTAATTTGGTGGACGTGCTACAGTTTGGTTTAAAATAATAAAACCCATTAAAAGTAAGAATTATATTTAGAATTAGGTACGCTTGGTTATGTACTATATTTGTGTTGTTTCTTGACATTTGGTTTTGCTGTTGAACATGATCATCAGTGAACCAGTAGAGGTCCCTCCTGCATCAATGTTACTGAGGCTTTATGTTGCAAACTGGTTGAAATCACTATAACTCAATGCACATTTCGTTTATGTTACACTTGACTTTTGGTTCACCGTATTGTTTCATGGCTTAAAATGCATTTTGTATTACCACATTAGTTAATTTATTTGTTTAACACAGATTTTCACTACTCTAAGGATCAATTTAGGATTGGGAACTAGAATAATTACCAAACTAACCCTTGTTTTTTGTCAGGACAGTACAGTAAAACCTGCCACTCTTAAAAGAGTAGTTGTTCTTTTGCCCAGCCACTTCCTGTCATTTCTGAACTTCTGCTCAGTCTCAGGATTTACACGTATTTGCAAATCAGAATTTAAATTTATGACTAACTCTGAGTTGGAGGTGAAACTGTAGCTAGGAGAAACAGCTGCAAGAATTAAAATGAGTCCTGATGCATTTATTAATGCGTCAACATAAACATTGAGAATGATTTGCTAAATTTTAATCCACAATTGAGGACAAAGTGAATGTTTTCTTTGTATTAGACAAGAAATAAACAATAAATTTATGTTTTTTATGTTTTGGTTCATTGATTTGTTCTGAAATGTTGATTCAAAACATTATATGCAAATAGGTGGTAAAAGCGTATACTAAAAGAAAAAAAAACTGAGGAACTAAAGTTTGTCCATCAGTTTGGCCGGTTGCCAAACGTAAAATATTATTTCTCAGACAAAATAAACATAATTTTCTCCAAGCGGAGCATGTTTCTAAATTCTTTCAACCACATTTCAAAAGTACGTGCTTCATCAGACTTTGAGCAAAAAAGTATCACTTTTCTGTCCACTAATGTAACCAGCAACAAAACCTGCCTGTGTAGGTTTATTTAAATGTATCCATTTCTTTGCACTTGTCTACCCATATTTTCAGCGGTGTCACTGCTACCAGTTGATTGTGCTTGTATTGTTTCCATTTCCAAGGTGGGAATGAGAGTGATTGCTCTGAGGAGCCAGGTTGGGTCAAACCACCTTGATATGTGGAGGAGGGATCAGAATTTTTTTAAATAAAAAAAATACAAATAGATTACTTATTTTGAAATTAGGTTTATGGCCTCATTTAATGGAGATATTTAATATATCATTGATTTTGGAAAAGATTTCAAGTACCCTCAGGAGAAAAACATACCCCCAATTGAGACCCATTGGTGTGTACAGGTTGCAAATAATGTTGCTCTTGAGAACATGGCTGCTGTGGACTCTGCCTTCACTGCATATGGGGTTAAACTGGTCAAGATTTTTTTCCTTTAGCTCCATAAAAAGAGAGTTTATCCAAACACTGACTTTTTAAAGCAGAAGGAGCCATTTACATGTCACCTCTCTGTGACATGTACACTATAAACTTAACACTGCACAGTTGCTTTTTACAGTAGGTCCACCTTTATTTGTTTCTCAACATGACATTAGTATCATGAAATTATAGTTTTTTATTTTGGACATTTTGGAATTTCTTGTTCATGTTTCATCAAAAAACAGACTATAGTGCTGCGTTCCATTTACATTGTATCCCGGGAACTGGTAAATGGTAGTGACTGCATTCCAGTTAGCTCACAGGCAATTGTATTGCTGCCGCTAACCTAGCTACAACACAGCTACAATGTAAACAATGACAAAAAGAGAGCTCTACTATGTACGTCATGCAAATAAACATTGATTTTAACACGTACGGTATTGCACAGAAAACACACTACTGTACTTGTGCGAGTGATTAAACATGCACACAAAAAGTTAAGAAAGATAATTAATAGTAAAAGTTACGGAGTTAACTTTTTAAAGTTGCGAGCAGTCACCATCTTGAAATCGAAACTGGGGGCAGTTTCATTTCTTCCAGTGTACGAGTGGAATATTACGACTGGAGGGGGCATTCTGGTTTAAATCTACCTATGGGAACTGGGAAATTACCACTTCCCAAGACTACTGGAACACAGCATACCTCTCACTCCTAACATTCGCATGAGATTTTGCAAAATCTTGGCGATTGGAGCTGTTTTAAACAAAAAAAAAAAAACCTTTTGGTCTTAGCTGTGTTTGGACTGGTCTTTAGTTAATTAGAATATGTGTTCAATTTTTTTTTACAAAACCTCTCTTCAAAATAACTTAAATATCCCTTTTAAATGAACTGCTTGGCCAAAAAAAAGTTGCCACCTTGATTTAACTAAGGAAATGGGTATGAGCCTCCTATTGGATGATTACTGCTGGCAACAAGTTATTTAAATGAGACCAATTATGGGTCCTAGAAATTTTTATGGTATGTCTGTGGGCTATCCAGACCATGTTCATTCAATTTAATGCACAAAATAATTCTCAGATAATAAAATTTCCCATTTTCTAGTTCTGCCTGCTCTGACTTCCGTTCAGAAGAGCTGTTTATGTTAATGAGCTCTGTTGGTAACGCCCTCCAAAATGTTGACATTAACTCCGCCCTCCAAAGCCAGCGTTTACRTTAGCATGGCTAATAATAGCAGAAGCTCCGTTGTACAACCATATGAGAGCCAGAGGCAGAGTGGTGGTCCCAGCTTCTTTTTTTTCCTCCCCCTCCTCTGCTCTGCCCTCACTCTGCATGCTGTTACCAGAGCAGGGAGCAGCAGAGGTCAAAATACCTCAGAAACTCAAACAAATAGGCTTTAACAAGGCTTAAAGCTAAACAATAGAGGTACATGAGAAAACGTGTTCATAATGAATGAAAATAAATAATTAAATTGTATGTGTCTGTGCCAGTTTCAAACCCTGGTCTCCCACTCTCTGGTCCAACACTCTACCCATTGCCCTATTGGAAGCATGTTGTGAAATGAGCTGCGCATTGCACAACAACAACCGTGACAGCTTTTTATACTGAGGAGGTGGAGTTTCACCCGGGGGTTGCTAGGTAAGGGGCTGAATGCAGGTTYCGGTGGGTTGTCGTACGGCTTGTGACATCACAAAATAACGGAAGTATAAAACTTGTCGTTAATATACATTAAAAATACATTTACTTACAGTAAATATGCCCCTGGGTGCATTTTTTTGGTCCTAGGACTGTTTTTTAAAGAAGTACATACCCAAAGTTGAGTAAAAAAAACTTTAAAAAGTGAATTTTGCATAATAGGTCCCCTTTAACCCCAACTGGTGCAATGAGTTGCTTCTCATTTCCTAAAGAATCATGTTGAATGACACATCCCATGGTCGAGGAAAAGATGTCAGCCTGTTTGAGAAGGGTCAAWTCATTGGCATCACCTAACCCTCACCCCAGTTGAACGGTCCAACACATTATTAAAACCTGGAAGGACAGTGGAGACCCATCATCTTGGAGGATGCACCCATCATGCCTAATGCCTACTGTACCAGCCTGTGGGGGCAGAGCTATGATCTGGGGTTGGTCAGGTCTGGGAAGCTTACCGAAACAACGCCACAGAGAATGYGTGCCGTAATCAAAGCTAAAGGCAGTCCAACAAMATTTTTTGTTGTTGTTTTTGGTGGCAGCTTTTTTTTTGGTCAGGCAGTGTATTTGCTACTAATGTAACACACCCCAGTCTATGACGACAGTTGCTGACATTTCCATCTACCTCAGCTGTTGGTGTCACATTACTATGAATGTGTAATTAAATTTTTTTATTAATAAAAGTGTGTTTTTTAGTTCTGATTTGGACATGTTAACATGTTGGACCTCTGCAGCTAGAGTCATTTGCATGGCTGTAGACTGGCTGTAGTAATATGGGTGTCTGTTCATTTCCCCTCCCAGACTCATATCCGTATGTGTCATCATTGGTTTGTGCCTTCTTCATGTGTCTGACTCCACTGTGGATCGTCATCTCCTCCAAACACCCAGCCAGCCGCACCTTGCTCTACTCCGGGTGGGAGCCAGTCATCACCGCCATGTTCATCAGCAGGTGTGTGTTTAGTCTTGAAAAGGGAAAGAACTTGTTATTCTGTCTCTGCTTCTTTGGTGCCTGGTTTATTTAATGACTCGTGCTTCACACAATTGTAGCTCTGGAGCACATTCATCCTCTGTTCCCCTGCAGCATGGCTGTATTAAATCAGTAGAACAGGATTTATTTTTCTGTTTTTCTTTCAGCTGTTTTAGCCTCTCCACAGTGAAAGCCTGTGAAATAACTTCCCCCTTCAGGCTTTGATAGAGTGAAGCAGTACTGGCACCAGATGCAATCAGCTGAAAACAACAAAATAAAAATGTAGTGACAGTTTTTTCATGTACTTCACTCTCTCTTACCACAGTACAGTTGACATGATTTAATTAAAACGGAGAGACAGAATTACTGCTTAGATCCCTGAAAAGAATTCAACTTTAGCTCTTGACTTTTTGTTACCTTTCTGACATGTAATAGCAGCTTCTTGTGTTTTTCAGCATTGGAGGGCTCATCCTGGACAAAACTGTGTCTGACCCAAACCTAGCTGGAATTGTAGTGTACTCTCCAGTTATCAACGGTGAGTGTTTCTTTCAGTTTGCGTAGGTTTAGTGAAACACCTCATTGCCTTTTTGGTCTCTCAACAAACTAGAAAATAGGAATTTTTGTGACCTGGATCATTTAGTGAAGACTTATTATTAAAGGGATCCATGATTAGTTGTAACATTAGACTTTAACTAATAAACATATTTTAACTGTAAAATAAAGACTGTAATATACTGTATGATGTTCAGTTTTTATCATTTTTAAACTTTTAGTTTAAAAATATATTACGCGGACGGGGCCATTTTATTTACACACAAAGCATTCTGGGTAAATGATAACATGGATAGGTCCTCGGTGTGAGGCTGCTAGCGAGCTATATCCACCCTGAAGGTTAATCTTGGACAATATCTGATGATCGACTCTTTTAAATGAAACCAGAGAGCGTTGACAGAGAGGAGAAGGTAGAAATGACTCAGCCTGTAACTGAAAATATGGATGGAGGACCTCAGTTTAGCTTGTTTGTTGCGCCAGCGCTGAGCTAATACATATAAGGCAATATAGCGTCAGCGCTAGCACGATGGCTAACAGGCTAAGCTGAGGTTCTTCTTCCATGAAGCAGCTCTGTTGTCCTCCATCCATATTTTCAGTTCCAGTCTGAGTCATTTCTACCTCTCCTCTCTGTCAACGCTCTCTGGTTTCATTTAAAAGAGTCGATCATCAGATATTGTCCAAGATTAACCTTCAGGGTGGATATAGCTCGCTAGCACCGAGGACCTATCCACGTCATCATTTACCCAGAATGCTTTGTGTGTAAGTAAAAATGACTCCATCCGTGTTAAATAATTTTTTAAAAATTTACTAAACTAAACAGCCTACAGTATATTTACAGTCTTTATTTTACAGTTAAAATATTTGTTTATCAAATAAAGTGTAATGTTACAACTAATCAGGGATTCCCTTTAAAAAATAGAAGAGCAGTGATGGATGGGCAGCCTGTCCTGTGTGCACCCTGCCTAACACCATGACTGCTGGAGACAGGCACCAAAAATRTCTTCCTTTACTCCTYTCTCAAACCAGCATTCCTCTCTATCAAGGATGAGCCTGATGATGTTGCTCGTCTGTGCTGGCTCATTCTTTTGAACAGTGGCTGCTTTGTTTCCCTGATGAATAACAGATCACAGACCTCCTGGAACTTAACAGCATACACAACATAACTCTGTTTGTACCGGGGGACAGGATCTTTCGGATGAACCAGTCTTTGCTGTAATGTATTTTGGGATTTGAATTGGGACATCATGTTTAGAAAATAAATGTCTCAGCGTCTCTGAAACTCCTGCAACGTACGGAGTGACCACAGTGGTTTACAGGACTGCTGTTTTGGTTAGCAATGCTAAAGTCACTTAAAATGCTAATAACCGATATTAGACAGTTAAAATGTGAAGGTGAACCTGACCTCATGTTTTCATGTAAAAATATTGTTTCATCAGTCAATGACGTTATTTTTGAACAGTATTTTTAACATTGTGTTGAAAATCAGTGTGAACGTTTTATATTAGTCTGCCACTTAGCTAGCCTGGCCCTCGCCTTCCTACGCAGTTCCGCTCAATTCTAGTTTCCCTTCACTGCTCCGTCTGGGATTTCTCCCATAGAGAAGGATTTCTTCAGGAGAATTTTTGTCTGGGCCAATCAGAGAACAGAAAGCGGAGTTTTGAACGACGTTGATGTTCTGCACAGTGTCTGCTAGTTAGTTTAGCATACGGCAGCGGAGGAAGTGAATGAAGCCAGTCCGTGTTGATAAGGCTTCCAAATTAAATTAAATTTGTCTGACAAAGCAGCAGCTCTCATTTACAGTCGTCTCGTTCGGCTCAGTACTTTTCTCCTCTCAGAAGGGTTGTTTACAGCACACGMGATTTCYGATTAGCTTCTTAACTTAGCCTCCGTCACAGTGGCACTGGCGACATACGTCGCGGCCAACTGATCCAATCGTTTTAAAATTCAGTAGAGGCCACACCTCCAGCAAGAATCGCTTCTCTATAGCCAAGAGTCCAGACCCTCGTACAAAGCAAAGCCAAGGACAAGGGTCTGGTTTTAACCAGGCTACCACTTAGCAGTTTAATTATCTTTAATATTGGAAACTTTAAAGCTTCCCTCTACACTCTGAACCTCAGGGATTGAACTGCAGCAGGATAAAACAGAGTGATACATCAGAAAAGTAATTTTTATCAGATATTTAAAAGTAGGGCTGCGCGGTATATGTGGTAGACGGTAGAAATGGTATGAATTTGGCCTACGGTAGAAATTTACCCTCTACCGTCCTATTGTCAGTTACGTCATCGCACCTGTGTTAGCAGGCTGCGAGTGCAGAGACAACTGAGCAGGTGTTTGAAATATAATGAAGAAATTCTAGCATTTTAAAACTCGTATAGAGAGAAAATAAATCCTCAAAATTTCCTCCTCCTGCTGTAGAAAAGTTACGTTGTGTCGCGGGATCATAATCTCTCCCTCCCTCTTGCTGCACGTCGCGCAGAGTGAAGCTTTGACAACCATAGTTTTTCACACCCAAGTTGTCGTAGAGAAAACTTGTTTTTTTTTATGTATTGTTACCCACAGAGATGATTTTAAAAAGACGTGGGCGTTCGTTCAGTCATAAATCCATCTCACTAATGTAAAGTTGGCTTCTGCTCTGATGATGAAGATGAGCRCGCAGCAGAGCAGCTGCTAAGTTCAGCAGGCAGAAGCTCATTGTATAGCAGGCAGATACTGTGTTAAAGCAAAAATGCTGGGTTTGATTATGATTAGTTTTCTGCAAAAAAAAGCTCTAAAAATTACATTATCTTAACCTTTTAGGATAATTTTCTACCGCGATATATACTGTTAACGTGAAGGGATTCAATTWATAGCGTGATATGAATTTGAGGTCATACCGCCCAGCCCTATTAAAAATATATATTTTATACTGAGTGGCACAGTGGAGTAATGTGCCCAGGATTACACCATTTGTTTTGTCCTACTTGAGTTGCTGCTTGGTCTGTAATCTCTTTGTGAAGTCCTTGTAAAACACATTAAACTGATACATTCCTTAATGTTTGAATTTGAAGTATTTTATTATTTCAAAAGTATAAAATATAATGAAAGAATTTGTTCAATGAAAAAACTAAATTGCATGTTCTGATAAAATGCTTTGTGCTGAATGACTTTGCTGAAATTTACTCTTTAAGAAGCTGCCTGGATCTGACARCACTGTAATGTGCTAACGCTGTATTTTATGTTGTAGTCATCAACCACTAAACTCTCTGCAGGTATTGGAGGAAACCTGGTGGCCATTCAGTCCAGCAGGATCTCCACTCACCTACATTTACACTGCGCTCCTGGGGAAGTTCCTGACGAGGCCAAGGGCTGCTACTACCCCTGCCGCACATTCTGTGGCACAGGTTAGCCCCAACAACCCACCTACCAAATATACAGAAATTAAGAATGAACTGATRAGATGTGTCAAACTCTCATTATGACAGCTGTGGGATTTCATTTTCGATGTGCTTTACACTTAGACACCCATTATTTCACACATTATTGCAGCAGATTCCACAAAACGTTTTTTAATAAATGCCCCATCATCTTCTGGTTTCTTTTCTTATTTTGTGAAATAACTCACTGATCATCCTGACTGCTTCATTCCTTRATGTGTAAATCAAAGTATAAAGGCTTCATTGGTTTTGTCATTTGGACTGTAAACCTTGTGATGTGCATGCCTGTAGGTTTAAAACCAGATTCCATCAGAAAGGGCATCAAGCATAAAATTGCCAAAGCCTTTGTGGAAGTTTGCTTGCTGTGGTGATTCATGTAGAAGGGAGCAGCTGCAAGAAAAACATTTTTCATTGATGTTGCACAGAGCAGATCGAGACAGCTAATTAACTGGAGTTGGAAAATATCCAGGTCTGGTCTTATCCTTTGTTGTGGAGAGGTTGGAATAAAATAAATACATTTTTAAACAGGTGTGCTTGATACAAAAACGAGATGAGTAATGCATTTTAAATTATTTGTTAAAGTGCTAGGTGGTATGTCCAAAATTAGATATCACAGTATTTTAAAAAACTATCTGTATCACAGAATTGGACCATATTTTTATTATTTATTTTCATCACAGCTCAGGATGATGCTAAACTGTACAAACTGCTTATTGAGCAGCAAACTGTGGTCAGCTGAAGTTACTCACTTTCTGCAACACAGAAACTATTTCTTSACTCTTTTCTTTAACTGTACCTCTGTCTGGGTTGTGTTTTCCCTCCTCTACATGTCTTTTCTTCTTTGCCTGATCACACATTTTGGTCCAGTCATGAAGGAGGAGGGCTGAGCAAAGATCAGGTCTATAATTTTGTGTTATTTAATAAAGCTTAACAGGATGAGTCCGCCTCCGTTCACTCATCAGCTCAACCCCAGTACAAAACTACTTTCCTCGGCTTTTCATAATAGAAGCACATTAGCGTCTTCATACATCGGGCAAATTTACGTCGCGTATTAAATCTTTCCATGCACGTCACTGAAGAGGTGCATACAACCACTGGTGGGCACCAGTCCACTAAAGCGCAAATTCACTAATTGCGGACCTAAACATTTCGTTTGCGCTTTAGCGGTCTTATTAATTTTTGTAATTTGTAAGCGGATTTGCGCTTTCTAAAATTAAAATGCAGTACTGCTAATAACTAATTATCTACCATTCATCGTTATCTTGAACAGTGGAAGGTATGGCCATCAATGAATCACAACAAACGTGATGTATCCAACAGCACCCCTCCCAGATAAACACACTTATTGGAAACATATACATCCTTCCTGACAGTTGCTCTCAGTCAGGGTTSTCATTTCCCACAATGCTTTGTGTCTGCTTACATAGCAGGAAGGCAATGTTTAGTACTCCCTTTCCCAGCAAAAACAGTAAACGTTTGTAATCCTTACTAAAATTTTGTTTGTTGTATTGCTTTATTTTACTTTACAATCAGAGCTCCTTTTTTAAAGAAAAATAACGTTTAAACGCTGGAGCTCAATACTTGATGTCGAAGCAACGGGGTTACTGACATAGAAATGATTTAAAGATGTTATGCTGATTAAGACTGAAATCTAGTGGTCAAGTGGATCAACTACATGAAAAACTTTCATGTCCCATCAAATCAAATCCATCATGTACCCAGAATGCATCGCTTCAGTTTTCCAATAAACAGTTTTAAAATTACTTTATTGATGCTTATGTAAGAAAATTTGAATTCAATAAACTGAAGTCGAGATGATAAACACAAAGGTTAAATAAAGTGATTTATAGAATGAATGAAACCATACAACACCAGAATCTGGAATCTGAGTGGAGGTTTATTGCTGCTGTCTGCAGACAGGGAACCCACACTGGCCATAAAACCGGAAGTTCATGTTTTTATACTGTTTCTTCAACGCCTTCGCTCGCCCCCTGCTGGCCTACGGCTGAGTCACAGGCATTTAGACACAATTCTCATCTAATGTCTTTCAAGCGTTTATTTATGTGTTGTAAAAATGTTTCAGACATGTAACTAGACCTATTTCAATCAAGACATAATAGATTAAACACTGTCAATATTTCAAAAAGGAGTACTTAAGAATCTAGAATCTAGTGTTGTGCTTCTAACATCAGTACTAACCTACCTCACACTAAATTTCTTCACACTTCTTTAATGAAAAATCTACAACAGACAAAAGAAAAAGACAAAGAAGCAGATGAACTAGCAATCCTCAACAACTTTTWAATTTTTACACCAGGAGCCAAAGTTCTGTTTCAGGAAATCACATCCCCAGCAATCGACACTTGTAGGGTTAAGCTGTACAGGGGTTCATACACCACTAGTTGGCAGTGTTGYACATATATTGTACAGTTGTTGCTAGCTGGTAAGTATCAAATTGAACTTGCGCTTTAAAATTAGCATCCGCTAATTTTCTATGGCATAATCGTTTTTGAAGTTGCGGACCTAAATAATTTCATAAGCGCTTTAGAAATTTCGGAACTAATTTTTGGATTAGCGCTGCCCACCACTGCATACTACATTCAGCAATGGTGAAAACGGGGGAGTTTTTTTTTTTTTTTACGTTAGTCAGTATAAGCATCAGAATCAATACCCGCGGTCAGTTATTGAGAAGCTGCTCCAACAATAACAATAGCTTTATTAATGCACATAGCGGTGCTCACTGGTGGGCACKATATGATGTTCCCAACTTGTTCAAGCTATTTAAACCGGAATGTCTGTATTCAAAAAATTCATATAACCAAAAAAAAAAGTTTTTCTGTACAAACTGGTATACCGCCCAGTACTAATGTCAAGTTAGCAGTGACGGGAGGCAGGTCCAGTCGTGGAAAGTTGAGCAGAGATTCTTATCAGGCATATTTACTTMAAGCATGAAGTCTATCTTTGTACGTCACTGAAGAGATGTATTCTATATTCAGTGATGAGGAAAATGATTTTTTTTTGTCAGCCAATGTAAGCGACAAAAATGCCACCGGTGATTGAGAAGGCTGCTCCCACAGTGGTTCTAGTTTGCCCTGTGCACTGCTAGTTCCTGCATGGACATTAGGTGGTGCTGAACAGAAAGGCTCAGTTTACTGTGTGACGTAACTTTCCAAATGTGTTCAAGCTATTTAAACCGGCATGCCGGTATTCAGAAAACTTCTTCCATAACAGAAATAAAAACTGTTTTTTGGTACAAACTGGTACCGCTTAGGTCTAATTAGTTTTATGTGTGCCATATGGACACATAATCCATCTGTGGGATCCAAAATTCTGAATGAATTGCCAGRGATCCAATAATGCTCTCCTCTATTGCACAGACAAGATAAAACAAAACTGTTATAGTGCTTACTAGGATGCAACTGGAGCAACAAACAAAAGTATTATCTTGGGCCATTCCTGTAATTTTGATATCTTAAAAAGTACTATTTGGTTTCAGTGTTAACCTAGCCTTTTGGTGTGTTTCAAATGGAAATCAAGATTGRAAAACATCAGGACATTCAAGGTGAACTGGGAGTAGAGTAAGCAGAGGATATTTAGGGATAGTCTAGTCATATTTAAAGTGATGTTCCATCATATAACTGTCAATAGTTAGTAGGGATGCACCGATATGAAAATTTCAGCCGATATCGATATCCGATATTATTGCTRTTATGRCCGATAACCGATATTTTSCGATATTACACACACAAATTATAYTATGCATATTTGCACAAACACACTTGTGYCTTTTTTCGATACCGTAAATAAACGACCAGACCTCTGACATGGCTCTACTTCAGTTATTCCTGGATACGCAGCGTCACTATCACTATCATAATCAAACAGATCAACCAAACGTTTTGCCTCCTAAAACAGAAACGCAAAGCTAAAAAATGGAAAATCAATATCGGACGTTAATATYAGCCCCGTTTTACATATCGGGCYGATACCGATATTCTAAAAAATGACCAATATYGACTGAAACTGATGTCAATGCCGATATATCGTGCATCCCTAATAGTTAGTACTTGATCAGCTGTGACATCAGTAGTAAGGCACAGAGTTTGGAGAATGAGACTAAAGTCTTAGCCCAGGCTAGGCTTGTGGCTAGCCAAACAAAGATTGTTTTTTTGAGACTTGTGAGACAATTCCTTTTCAAAAAGCCTTGACTAATAATGTCAGTCGTTACATTAGTTAATAATAAATCTCTACTCTTGAATGAAACCATTTATCACAGTTTTCATAAATATACAATGTGTGTGTTATGAAAATGTACATGTACACGGGGCTTCTGACTTTGGACCAGAAAGTCACAGGTTCAATTTCCTGCCATGCCCATATTTGGTGTCCTTGAGCAAGACAACTAATTCACAACTGCTGCTCTGCAACTTCAATAGCAGCAATCTGCTCAATTTGGGTGTATCTCATGTGTGACCGGTCAAAGGCAAAGAACAAATTTCATCACTGTATGAAAACATACAATGATGACAATGGATAGCACTTTCATCTTTTATCTCTTTCATCTTTCTTCTGCAAAGCTTAGATATACTGTGTGTATGCTGAAGGCATCAGTCTGCTGAGAGAAAAGTCAACATTTGAGCTGACTAGATGTGCTGATCAAGCAGACTAAATCACTCCGTCGCCCTCCCACCATCGACTTAACAGTCTGTGCTCAGCACTGTGTGTAACACAAATGTTTATATAGGTTCAAAAACAGTGACAAAATATGTCCTATCAAGTGTAGAGGTTTAACCTTTGGTGATGTAGCATTCTTTAATACTAATCTTTTTTAAAAGAAAACACTGTTTTTATAAGATTGAARGAGGGGAACAGGGTCTTGTTTGGCTAGCACTTAGCCTGGAAAAAGACTTTTGCCTTTTTCTCCAAACTCTTTGCTTAATGAAARAAAGCTGATTGGCTACTAGTTGTTTAACGAACAGAACATCACTTCAAAGCTGAACTGTCTCTTTAGGTGTTAACTGTTCTTATTTTTGTTTTTGTTTTTTCCTCAGGAGCAAATCATCGCTCTGCTCAAGTACTCCTGCTTGTACTGATCCCTGGCCAACTAATCTTTTTGTACACGATCCACGTCATGAAAAGTGGCCACACTACCTTGACACCCATCTTTATGTCGGTGTACCTGGCTGCTGCTTTGCTTCAGGTGAGTTCCTTTTTGACTGTAATACTGATTGTTTTCTTTCAGTTTTGCAGTGGATTATCTGCATCCATCCATCTCCTTTCAACACCCCCAACATGCTGCTCTGTCACACCAGATCATCTTTCACTTCATCCATCAGGTGCAGTCGTTTGTTAGGGCAGAGAAAAGAAAAAGAAAAAATAATTCATTACAAAAACTTCCTTATAACAAAAAATATAAATTACTTAATAACGTGGCTTGCTCTGTATTGTTTTTGTGTTGTTGTTTTTTTTCAACTTTAACTCTTTACTTTAAAATGTTTTTGTGATTCATTCTCAGTTTTTTACATATTTGCAGTTGTTAGCCAGAACATGTTGTCAGTAGATTTATCATACGTATGTACAAACAGTAAACAATAGTCAACAACAATAGGCATGCGACAGACTGGTCCCCTTTATTATTAACCAATGGGTTACATAATTTTTTAAACTTAAATGCAAGAATATTGTACAATTAAATGCAATAAATGAATAATAAAATAGGAGACACTGAAAATTTGCGCCAATAAATCCAATAAAAACAAAATACCAGACCAAATATTACAGATTTGAACAAATACGTACAAAAACATCAAAATTAGCACAGAAACGGTACTATATAACATTTTAGACACATTCTAGACAGTTTATCAGCTAAAAAAAGTTAATTTTGGGGTAAGTTACTCTTTAAGTTGGGGTTGAATCCTCTTACTTTTTCAGGTTCACTGTGATAGGTTGTAAAATCTATTTACTTGTAAAATTTGAGGAATCCAGTTAGGCTGTGTTTGTCCACCTCGTCCTTTGCTAGAAGGCTTTTAAGAGCAAAGCTGGAACATTAAAATGTCATCTTGACCTCAGGAGTCGGASACTTTTCAAATCTGTTAAGACCTTTGCCAGCGGAGTTTCTTTAGGGCACCTTCATTCTGAGGGAGGTGGAGCTGTTGTCTGAATGTTGATCAGTTCACTGATTTAATTTAATAGCTGTATTCTGCCTTGAATGGGGTGTCTGCTCTGCTTTATAGGCAGAACAATTTAATGTATGAGGAAAAATGACCTATTGATGMAAACTTACTCTTAGTATTAAATGTGCTGTGTCATCTGTGTGTGAGCAGATACAAACTGTACTGCAGACCTTCATTATCACACTGCAGCAGGTTTTTCACAAATAGGGAGACTGACTGAAAAACAGCACAGAATTAAAAAATGAATTAATAACTCTTTGTCAGAGTTTATTATAGAACCACAGGATGAACCTAAGCTGCAGTAAAACCTTTTACAGGTGAACTTGATGTGACCTTACCTTTGCACATCCATTTGTTCAATGTTTCTTATTGAACCAGGAAATGAGCTAGTCGATTTTTGGATCCCTGTTGTGAATTTAGCCGTTTAGCTTGTGAGTGGTGTATATGGCTCAGGAAATACCAAGGACTAAAAGAGAAGTTAGAAAGAGTCAAGTGGGCATCAGAGCACTCGGGACTGTGACCTCTGAATTGAAAGAGTGGCTTCAACAGATCTCAAGAACAACTTCAAAAGTTTCTGTTTAGAAGAGTCGAGTCCTAGAAACTGCAAAGAACAGAGCCCTCAAATGTTAAGTCATAGTTTGGTACATATGAGGGTCATTGTTCAGTACGGCACAACAAGAAAAAGAAACCAATCCAAAAGTTCATGTTTAAAGGTTTTGCATATTTTGCTAGTTTGCATAATGTTAATAAATAGTAACCTTCAACATATAGCTTGATGTACTGGTGGTGAGGTGGCCTAGAATTTATGAGTTAAGAGACCAAAGCATTTAGACCATAGTCCCACCTATATACCCATGTAATATTCTATTTTTAAATTTGCAGTTTACATATTTCTCAACTGAAGGTAGTGTCCTTACATTCTGCACAAAAGATACAGTTTTGCAAGTCCAAAATAAATTAAAGAATAATTTTAAAGTGACATTCAAGTGTCTAAACTAAATCTGGATCTGGCAGTCCAAAAGTTCAAATWAGAATTAGGCGTAAACCAAAAACAGAAAAAGACGAGACCAGATGGATTATTACTATAATTCAGTGATTTATTATGATGGCACTTCTTAATCAGGGCTCTAAAGCAGTGGTTCCCAAACTTTTTATCTTCTGACCCACAAAATATCCATGGCAAAAATTTGTGACCCCAAATATTACTGGTCTGAGGACACGAACTTCATTAATAACCCTAAAAATACAGGCTTTTTGACAATCTAAACAGCTTGTACACAAATACAAATACTTATTTAAAGTTATTTTGTGTTTTTGTAATAGGTATAGGAAAAATATTACATCAGCAATTATTTTATTACCCTTTAAATTGATTTCTGGAGATTMTCCAAGGTGCTTCATGACCCATAATTGGGTCCCAAGCCCAACTTTGGGAACCAAAGTGCAGTGGTTCCCAAACTTTTCAGCTTTTGACCCACAAAATAACAGTAGCAGAGACCTGTGCCCCCAACTATTTTTGGATGATAAATATTTCTATCAAGTCAATAAAACGTGCATAGTAACAATATTTTTATACCAAATTTACCCATTTTAAATACACTAACCCCACTCATTTGTAACAACTAAGGCAAAAATGTAATTAATTCCTAAAATCTTTTCAGGACCCCACCTTGATGTTTCAGGACCCCACCTTGATGTTTCAGGACCCCACTTTGGGTCCCGACCCCAACTTTGGGAAAYACTGCTCTAGAGTGCCACCAATTTGGTCGCAAATGCGACCTGATTTCCTAATAGTGCGACTAAAAAAAATGTCCGGTCGCACTGGTGCAACCAATCGTTCGAGGGGGTGGGGGAGCGGTCGCCCGCTGAAACAAAAAGTTTCTATTACGTTCCATTAAAAAAATGAATCCATCAGTATCAATGGTTGCCTGCCGACAGTTTCATCTCTCCTAATAACACTGCGCTCTGCTCGCGGGCTCTGCTCCACACCTCCCGCACACACACACTGTTGTTCTATCCTCATGGGGACTTTGCATTGGCTTCCATTCAYTGAACGTCATACATGTGAAAGGATGTGTAACAATATGGCTCAGTTAAAACATCCCTAACCAGCCTGTAAAAAGATAGCTAAAAATCAGTATTTTTTTACAGGCTGGTTTGGGGTGTTTTAACCAAGCCACATCCTTGGACCACGTTCAAATTTTGTGCAGCTAGAATTTCCTTTCTCAAGTTATGACTAAAATTAATCTAAAAAAAAACATGTTACTTCCTGCCCGACTCGACCAAGCTACTCCTCGCTGCCTCCAGCCTCATACCCCCACCGTCAATCCGACCAATCACATCTCTTGGGCCATCTCCGCCCACATCAAAATCTCCGCCAATCACAAGTAGGRCCGTCTCCACCCACAGGACAAAACTTACTGTAGAGAAACCTTACTCCAATTTTTTGTCACTCGGCACGGGGAAAGCTTGGTTTATACTTCAAGGCACACCTCTATAGTAATAAGATAACAGAAACGAGGCAAGAGCCAAGGCTGCAGGATGGCAACATGACAGAGGTCATGAGTTGTTAGCAGATTAGTGTTTCAAGTTCAAAGGTTACATTGTCCTGGCCATGGCCGTACTGCTGTATAATAGTTTGTCGATGCTACTTGTTTATTCAAAACCAACAGTGTAAAGTTTAGACACYAATGTTAACAAATTGCTGCTCATGTTATGACTCTATCTTCCTCTCCCAGGTGCTGCTGCTGCTGTGTATAGCAGATTGGATGGTTCACTCAATGTGGCGAAACGGCAAAGATCCGGACAGTTTTTCCATCCCTTACCTGACTGCTCTTGGAGATCTGTTGGGCACAGCCCTCCTCGCCATCAGCTTCCACTTCCTGTGGCTCATAGGCGACCAAGACAGCGACGTGGGTGACTGAAGAGGCCTCGAAGAASAGATTTGTGGGAATGTGGGTGTTTTTTGGTCTCACTGACCAGCACATTGGACGAGTCTCGAACGAGATGAGATAGAAACTATTTTTGGCTAATGCCTTTTTTTTTAAACATACAGAAGGCATTATGATCTTTAACTTGAGACTGTTCTCAGTAGCTTTTCTGATCTGAATCTTTTGCACCAAAGCATTAGGATATTCTATGCTGGTTTGTTAAAAGGAGCAAGTGCCCAGGACCCCCTTGAATATGATGTTGCAATCTCAGTGGGGTCTTAATCTGGTTAAATAAAGGAAAATGAATGAACGAAAACATCAACCACAATCCATAAGACTGATCCATCCCACTGGTGTGAAACAGGATGTCTTCTGTCCAAGCATCAGCTGAAGGTCATTTCCTGAAATAACTTTATTCATGTTGGGTTCTATGTTTTAAAATTTGCCCTCTGCCGTCATGATTTGTGTAGTTTTGTCTTCAGTTAGTCGGCTGGGCACAGACAAGAGCAGAAGAACAGGAAAAACTCATTTTGTTTTAAATTAATTGTTAAACATTCCTCCAAGCACCACAGCTTAAAATGAAGTACATAAGTTTGTATTAATGATATGAAGACTTTGAAGTTTTTGTTCTTTTTTTTTTTCTGTTTCACATTCTCTTTGTTCTTATCTGCAAACATTGTCACACCAGGCTGCTTCAAAGTGTTTATAGGGGGAAAAAAAGTGTGCCTGCTGAAACAAATAAAAAAAAGGTTTTGTCATTTTGAAGTTCAGTTAACTGTATGTTAATTTCTTCCCTTCAAGTCGGGCTGCACTTTTYGAGCTAAATACCGAACAAAAGATGTGCATCTAGGTACAAACACCCCATTTTAGTAAGTAAAGTTTTATTTATATAGCGCCTTTCACAGAAATAAATTCACAAGGTGCTGTACATTCAGGGAAGGGGGGAGGGGTCAGTTAAACACCAGTTCAAGAAGACATACAAGACAAACATGGGGGAACAGGTGAAACCGGTCACGCAGCAAACAATTGTTGCGCTACCTTTATTTTAGATTCTAATCACTTGGATTAGTAGTTAGTTGCAATACTTATGGGTAAAAGCAATATTAATCTATAAATACTGAATTTCCACATAATCACAAAAGAAAATGGACTGTTTTTTTCTCATTTTTAGATTCTTATTAAGCAGTTAGAGAAGGTTAAAATTCCCTGACTGCATCAAAATCTGGGTGGGAGAGGTTTCCATCTTCCTCCTGTCTCATTTGTACCACTTTGGTTCCCTGGGCAACATCCTTAACCCACCCACCTGCTCCTCTGGGCCCCCTAGACGGCAGCCTCCTGCTCCACACGTGGGCTGTGGGAGCTCGCTTTGTGGGTTGCATCTGACATGAAAAAAAACTCTTTCTGGGAGTTCTCTGGCTGTGGTGACCCCTATAAAAGGAAGAGCCAAAAGACAAAAACAATCCCTCTTCTGCCTACAATAGTGCGAAGAATTAGCAACATTTAGGCAAAGATAAATCTTTCCTTTGAAGCTGGAAATCAAAAAGGAGCCTGATTTCACTTCATAATGTCACCATTAGTCGTTTATAAAGGATGTCAGCTGCTTTTCATTTTGTTCTTCTGTTTGTCTGTCCTGTGTCGGGGTGGTGAACAGACCATTCCCTCTGTTGGTTTCTGTATATTGTTCATTTGCATATAATCAATCATTTTATACAAACCTGATGATCCGATTTCTGCTTGATTTAAAGGACTGGAACAAAACTTATTTTATTGTCATGGGTTGATTTGAAATCAGTCTATAAATCCAGCAGGAGTTTAAACGCAAATAATTAATAATAAATCCAAGTCCTTCCATTATCTGTTCAGTGTGTTTGAGAACAGCCTTTAACTTGGTTTTGTGCCTCTCGACATGGTTGACATGTTTTTCTCTGTCATGACATCAATGCAATTTTCTTTCCAGAACACACATGTAACTTTTGCTGATCTGTTTTTTTTTTCCCTTCGGTTTTATTTTAAAACAATCCACGATTTTATTGCTAGGTGCAAAATTTATGAGATGAAAGACAGATTTTTTTTATTTTATTTTATACGAACATGTACGAATAGTAAAATAAATGTTACTTATATAAAAACTATCTAATTTATGGTTGTCTTTGTCAAAGGAGTTTGCAGACAAAGTCTTGGTCCTTTTATCGTAGGAACATGCAGTCATTGCAGTCCTGAAAAGAAAAAGCTCCTGTGAGCTGTAAAGGCAGAAACTGAAAATTTGTATATTTAATGAAATTAACTCCTTTTTCTGTTTGTCTGAAATAAAAYCTACATAGAATTTGTTTTCTCTAATGGTCTCTTTGGTACCATGAGGCAGGAAGAGTGTATTGGTATAAACATTTTATGTGAAGCGGGACTTAACATCAGACATTCAGATGTTTCTCAAACTTATTCAAGCAGAAGACCACTTAAAGAGCCTGTGACATGCTTATAGTTCAAATACAAAAAGGCAAATARAAYATATTTATATTTAAGAAAATTATCATAATACACATGAATTTACCCATTTTGTCTCATAATTGGCATGTTTTCTCTTGAATTTGGCTCAACAAAGTGAAACAGGAAGTGACATCAAAGGGGAATTCTTTAAGAGAAGAAACTGGTCTTTGTTTATTGATACAATCTATTTAAACTCTTCTTCATCTCTGATAGTGACTCAAAATAATCTAAAGAAACATCCGATTCTTCTCTAAGTATTGTAGCGTCGCTCTGTTTACATGCAGACATTCCCCTTTGACATCACTTCCTGTTTCTTCACATGCAAATATCTCAGCAACCGTTCATCTCAACGGCGTGAAATTTGTTTTGTAATATGTTTTCAATGGTCTCTTTCCAAAAATGCATTCACACATGTTGCAAAAATTTGATGTCACAGGCACTTTTAAGCCACTTAAAAAGCACTCATAAACAATAGCACCCAGAACAGACAACACGAATAAAACCTGGAATAAAAACAAAATCAGTCTTTTAACTCGCTCAATGTTGTCTTTTTTTTCCCTCCCAGTAAGAAGAGTGGTGCTGCTCTTTCTGAGCTGAGTGAGACAATGTCTGGCTCCAAACTGGAAAGTTTCAGACTCAGGTTTTAGTCCAYGCTGATGCAGTTGCACAGCTTTGTTTTAAGGCCAATAAGTGTAGAAAAAGGGTAAAGACATAGAACAGATGCTGGAGATGATGGAAATGGAATTTGTAAGGGTACAAAATTGGTTTAAACATAATAAATTATCATTAAATTTGGATAAAACAAATTACATATTTAGTAATAGAAAGAAAACAATTGATGTTCCATGTTTTCCCCTTTTCCACTAGTGCCACTAAGTGTAGTGTCGGAACGGTCGTTCTGGGCACATCCCACTGGGAGGAGACTAGTAATAGAAAGAAAACAATTGATGTTCCATGTTTTCCCCTTTTCCACTAGTGCCACTAAGTGTAGTGTCGGAACGGTCGGTGTAGGTACGGGTCGGACCGGTTGGTTTTCCACTGATGTTCCAGTCCGGTTCCAATGGGTGTGTTTTGGGCTGTTGGTGGAGGTGGTTTTTAGGTATTTTGAATAAAAATTAATGGGCAAAATGAGAGATGGAAACACATTTGATGAATAACTTTTGAAATTTTAAACATTTGCAA